GATCAAAGTGCTAACTGAGATGAGGTTGGCCTTTCAAATCTAGGTACGCCATTTACTACAAATGTATTTGCAAAGCAATGGTTAGTCATTTCAGATTCTTCACCTGATGGGTAACTGCTCATTTCAGCAAGATCCAGGAGGGATGGCAAGTCAGGCAGAGCTCTGCTGACCAATCTTCCTGCAAATCTTACCTGGCATGGAAAAGCATTCAATCTTGCAGCACTGAAATGGATGGAAGGAAGGTCTTCTGAAAGTCTTTGTTTCAATTCACATGCTGTTTGGCTCAGCTCTTTATCAAATGAGTTAAGCTCATGTGGGAGCAGTTGGTTTTTTAAATGAACAAAGCGTGGTGCAGTCATTTCTGTACTGCAGCACAGTCTGGATCTGCTGCCACTATGAACTTCTTAAACAAAACTTCCCCCCCCCCCCCCCTTTTTTTTTCTTTGCTTGTGGAAGTCTGGCTCTTGCAATGAGCTCACCCACAACAAAAGCCCCTTGGAGTCCTGTTCAGCTCCAGCTAGGGCCTACCTAACAACAGCTCCTTTCCTCTCATTCTCTTGCCTACTAGACATAGCAGTCCTATGAGTATTTGGGTGGGGAAGGAAGGAGATTGCAACATCCATTAAGAAGAAAAAAAAAAAAAGGCTTGTCTGTCTCTCATTTTTCAAGTGCAGCTGTAAAACTTTCCTTGGCCTTTGAAAACTGAGCTCTGCCATGTGGTGGGTGCGAGCTGTGGAATACGTCAGCCTTTGAAGTTAGTCCTTTAAATAGGCAATTGCAAATGGCATCCAAATTTAAGCTTTTATAGCAGTTTTGCTGCAAGCTGGAATAAGTTACTTGCTCTGACAGTACACTGTGGATGGCAAGACTAAGTTACAAGTACCCACACCTCTGTACGTGTCCCCCAGCCATCAAACCATGTTCACCCCAATGACAATAAATCTGAATCTCTAGGAACGTAGTTGTAGCATGAGCCTCTAGTTGCAACCAACTTTGTATTTCTCTGCAAGACTTCAGTCTTCTGTTTTAACAGAAAACTGCCAGCTGTGACTGAAGACTGCTGGGTTCACATGACTGCAGCCACAGATAAGCAAACCTGTCCTGAAGTGACTGAACTAAGAGTGGCTGAAAGGTAGTGGGACTGTCTTCTGTATTTCATTCGTTTATTTACAGGGAAAATGTTCTACAGGCCACACAGGAGAAGGCAACTAAGAACCCTAAAGCATTTATTTTCTCACCTGTAGTGTTTTGAGTGCTTAGAGACTAACTGCCACTTGTTACAACACAGCAATTCATAGTTCTTAATCTGTATGCATTACTTTTCTACAGAGGTACGTTATTATTATTTTTAATGCCAGGGACAGGGATAAAAGCTTTGTTTGTGCAAGGAGTTGAGTTAACAGGTAGAACTGCACACAGTTTTTCTTCTATTCTAATCTAAAGATGGTCTGAACAGGCACAGTGAGTTTGAAGCAAGTTGTGCTGCCCTAGCAAGAACATGTCTGCCTCTTGAATATTTGCACCACATACCTCTTATGTATTTATCTAAATTCCCCCAATCCACCATTGAGAAGTAGCCTTGTTACCTTACCTGCATGCACAGTCAGATGTCCTTGGAGAAGTGAAAAGCAGAGATAAGGGGAACTGTCTTGTATTGTTTTGCTAGTGCCTTCTTGTTAAATTACTGATGGCAAAGTTTCCAGTATATGCCTGGTGGGAGAGAAATTCAGTCCAGAAAAGGGAAAATCTCACTTACTTTTCAACAATACCTAGTTGCATTCCAGAACTTACACAGCTCTCTTGGGAAATGTCTTTCCTGTATCCATTGTCTTTAATGTAGTGCCTTTCCTAATCATTTTTTGTCATCTCCAAGCTTCTGGAAAAGTGAGTGTTTCCCAGGGTGTAGGTGGAGGGAAAAGAGTTTGCGCGTTGCTGCCTAGCATCTCATAGTGCTATTGTGTTAATCAAGAGTAGTGACTCATAGAAAATGAAGACTGGATAATTCAAGTGATTATTTATCACTTCTGTGGTCTACAGGATTGTTTGCTGCTGGAGAAAATAGCCCTAGGCACTTTAAATATGAAGATTCGTTCCCTAGCAGTATTCTGAATTTTTCTTTTCTGTAACTCAAAGGTAAAATCTTTAGAAACCCTCTCCCTCATTACTTTGTCCTCTACCATGTAACTCTGGATAACTTGGAGTTTGCAGTGGTAGAGCCAGATTTCAGCTCCAGCTCTGCCTCTAGAAGTCAAGCCCCACTCTGGTCTAGAGCAAAAAGGATTCAACCCATTTGTTGGACTTTCCTGAATGCACCCTTTCACTCCCCAAGCCTTCTCCCTGAACCTGACAGAGCAACTGAGACACTCCAGTTTGGAACCTGAAGAAGCTATTGTAAAGGCAATAACCCTTGTAAAGGCACAGGTGTGTAGTGTTCTTTGCCTTTTTTTTAAGTCTGCTTTTATGATCTTTTGGCGATTTGTTCTATCCGACTCGAACACTTGTCTGCTGAACTAAACTTCAGCTGACTAAAGTTAAAGGATGAAATACCAGTTGCTGTTCTTCAGTCAAAACTAATGGCCTGTAAACTCCTGGGTTTTTTTTCCTCCTCTTGCATTGGATTGGTCAAATGCCTCTTTGGGAAGGGATGAAACAGCAAGAAAGAGATACTTCTGATGTGACTGCTGCCTGTTTCATCCTGCCCCTTTCTGTCTTCAAAAAGGGGTGCTGTGTTTGCTATCAATGTACTCACCTGTACTCACCCAGAGTGTGTTAATCTTTCCAGCTTTTTTCTTTTTTCCCCATAGGATGATGAGAGTCTGAAATACTTAACTCATGAAGAGCAGGATGTTCTCATGTTCTTTGAGGAAACCATAGATGCCTTAGAAGATGACTTGGAGGAGCCAGTCCTACGTGACAGTGGCATCCACTCTCAGTCTCCAAGGTCAACGGAAGAAAATGTGTCCAGTCATTCAGAGACTGAAGATATTGAATTAGTACAGTCGACACCTGAGAGTAGCGACCATGAAGGCCCTCCTAGCAGAGATACAGAACCAGGTAGCAATATTTCTTGAAAGTGTGGCTTTTCCATTTGACCTAGCCGTGACATAGTAATGAAATTCTGTACCTTCCTTACTGTCTCAAGATGAATCTGTTACACATTGGGAGCTCTAAGGACTATGATTTTAATTTGACTTGGGATTTCTGAAATTCTTGCTGTTACTATACTCATGGAGGTCGTGCATATGATGAAGTTGTTGGACTGCTAGCTCAGTCCACTACCTGGTGACTGAGTTGTAACAGAACTGAGTATTATGCAGTCACTGCAGTAAGGCAGGCTAGTATTCATCAATGTGTTCATGCTCTCCTTCTCTCTAAGTCCTCTTAAGACTTTCTCTAAGTTTTAAGATAGCAAATTGCTTGTAGTGTTACTGTGTGGGGGACTGAAAGGCACGTGATCCTATCAATATGTTTCTGACGACATAGTATATGGCATGTTGTTTTCTTCACCCTGTAGAGTTTGCACACTCCGTTTTTGGAGAATGGATTTACCAGCTAGTACATACAGCGGGATGCAATGTGTCCTCTCCTGGCTGTTGTAATAAAAAATAAGAATTGCAAAACTCTTGTAGAAAAAGCAACCATTCAGACACACTGAAGCCAACATGCAGATTGTGAATGAATGGCGGAAAGAGGGCTTCTAGTGAACGCGTTGTAAATATGGTGACTTGAACTATAGTGTTGCCTACAAGATGCCATTGCTAGGAGTTCAGTTCTAGTTTCTTCTGGCATTGTGGACAGAGTTTGAGTGAATGTTTGGGGGAGGGGAGTACTGATGCTTGCTAATCTTAGGTGAAAGAAAACCTTGTATTCTGCTCTGTGTGAAGACTTACTGACATTATGGCTGCTTTGTCTTTTAAGTGTTGGATGCTACCTGGAGAACTGAGAGCCCAAAGCCAGCTGTACCCACTGGCCTTCCCACACATCCCCCTGTACCACCACCATCGATGTCTGAAACGCTTCCTCTTCCTCCTCCACCCCCTCCTCCAGTGCAGCATCCAAAATTGCTTCGTTCTGTTCCCACTCCACTCATCATGGCCCAGAAGATGTCCGAGCAGCAGATGGAGAGCAGAGTGCGCTTTCCCGGTGCCCTCAAGGAAGGGAATTTGGACCGGAAGAAAACCCCGGTAGCCAATGGTGATTATTTTGCAGCTCCAAAGCACCCTCCTGCACCTGCACCCAAACTGCACCGGTTCCCAAGCAACATCAACATAACAAATGTCAGTGGCAAAGAATTCAATGAGACTATTTCAAAAGCAGCAGTTAACGTCCAGGAGCGGAGAGCTCAGGTGCTGGCCAACATCAATGGAGGAGCTTTTCTGGCAGCTGAACTTGAGGAGAAGCTGCAGAAAAATGATTTCTTGTCACGTAACAGAAGTTCTTCCTTAAGGGATCTCTCCTCTGAGCAAACACGATACGAGGCCCTGACAAAACTTGGCCTAGTTAAGGGAAAGCCAGCTCAGGACCAAGTGGACCGTGGCCCAAGCACTCAGCAGCTTGATGTGCAGCCCAAACAGGCAGACGCTGTTCCCAATGGATATCAAAACATCCACGAGATTTTAAAAAGTGAGCCCAGCCCTTTCCTTCCTACAGGCAAAACTGTAACAATCAAACCAGAGGTAGCTCTTGTTGCTAACAAGGTCAGCAGCGCACAGCAGAACGCAGCAAAAAGTTTTAATGATTATAAACAACCTACTCTAAACCTGGATATGAGGAGGAGATCAGGTTCGCTGCCTAGACCTTCAGGATTTCGATCACAAGGGATAACAGTAAAGTTTTCTGGCCGCGGCTCAACAGAGGAAGCTAGGAGAGAGGCACTTCGGAAGCTGGGACTACTGAAAGAGACTGCGTAATTCGGATGGGAATGTTTTGGTGGCAGGGGGAAAGTCATAGCATGGCTTTGTGCTAGAATAGTCCCAACAGGATTGGGATCAAACAGATTGGAAGAAGAAAGGGGAAGTTCTCTGCTTCAGGCAAGCTAAGGAGGTACTAGATACTGGGGAATGACCGCTCGTGTTTATCCCAGAAGGACTGGTACCGCATAGAATCATGTACAGCAGTGAGTTTCATCTCGCCTTCCTACAGAGATGTTCACTGTTGCTCTTTGTGACTAAAAGGAATTTAATTTAAGTAATGCTGGACTATAGCAGACAGCATCTCGTTGATGAAGTGTACAGTGCAGTATTGTTGTACATAGCAAACTGAATCTTCCTTTTGCTTTCTGAAGCCAAAAACGAGAGCTACGTTTGTTTTGCCCACGCGTGTATGTCTCTGGAAGCTCGAGATAATGTCAAAACTGAAATTTCTGACCAGTGACTTTTTGGTGTCTATATTATCTGGCTTGGCTTCGCTCCCAACCAGTGCTGGAATCTTCTGCCTCCTTGCTCTGTGCCCACCTGACTCAAGACTGTGCAGAGGGTAGTTTCTGCTTTGACCTTCTCCTTGACAGAGCAGCCCAAGCTTTGAGTGGGTGACTGCATCACTCTGCTACTTCACTTGAAGCCTTGCCTTTCTTCCCAGCCACCTGCTTCTCGGTCACGCTCTAGCAAACTATGTCCAGTCAAAGGCAGCAGATAAGCCTCAAGGATAGGCACCATGCACCGGTTTTCACACTGACAGCCAAAGAGTCTCCTGACAATCTGTGACCCCAACTGTTCTATACCAGGGACGATCTTGTAGCAGAGAAGCCATAGGAACAAGTAAACTTTGTACCAAATGCGAGAACCTTATGTCAAAAGTCTGATCTTTTACGTTAGGGTTCCTGTGAAGAAACTGTAACTTTTTGAACAATGGCTGTACTACACTGAATAGTTGTAAGTTCTGTTACTTTTAAAAACTGTCATTTGATCTTCCTGTAGTTTCACAGACCTAATAATCCTCCGTTCACAGCCTTATTTGATTCTGCCCTGCCAATGCATAACAGAAGTTAAAGCCAAAATTCTTGCAGGCTAAGTGGAGTTAGAGGTGAGCGACTGTATGTAAGAGCATGTCACTCCTGAATGGTCCAAGTTGGTGTTATTTTGCCTTTGTACATTAGACATGCTTTTAAAGATGGTCCCAAGATGTGTTTGTGTGTTGGTATGACTTTTTTTTATATAGCAAAGCTGCTCTTCCACATTAAAACTCCCTCCCCTTTTTGTACACCTGAAAACATCAAGAATAGCCATTTTAAAATCAAATGCCAAACTCCAGACCCTCTAAATTTCTTGTCTTTATTCCTGCATGTTTAAGAGTTCTCAGTGTTTTGGTTTTTTCTAAAGGGAAAAACTCACTTATTCTCTGCACTTTCTAAAGCCTCAAGTAGCCAAGTAATAAACCTTGGAGAAGACGAGGGGAGTGGCTACAATAGAAACTTTCACACCCTTCAGTGAGGAGCTCTGACGTAACTGTGATACACAAGTTTGTAGTTCTTGTGATAAAGTATTTCAGACTTGCTGAGCTGTACTTGTACATGAAGCTGTAGTGAAGGAAAAATCTTTGCGTCGTTCTCAATCTGCCTCATAAGTTAAAAGTTTTTTTGGTTTTTGTTTTTTAAATTATCTGCTTGCTGCTTTAATTTTTAATTGTGTTGTTACGGTATCTGGCTGGTTCTGTTAAGTAGTTATTCTTTTCAGCCTTTTCACTGGGTAAGTGATCATGTTTCTCATTGTGACAGGCTTACTATACATAAGCAATCAGTAATTAAAATATGTGGCCGTTCCTCAGTCTGGCAAAGCACTTACGCATGCATAATCAAATGTGAGAAGTGCTGCTGAAACAAAAAAGGCTGCTTGTATGCTGCAAGTAAAGCACATACTTATTTTGCTGGGCTCTGAGTCTGGAGTCCTAAATCAGAAAGACAAGGAAATACATAAAATACATCCAAGCACCTGCTTCAGTGCAGCCTGGAATGGAGTCCTACATGTGGATCCATGCATTGTAATTTATTAACATAACCTGCTAAGTAAATTTAAATGTTTCATGACCTTTGTGCTTTTAAATCCTGTTAAAGCAAATTCTTCATTATAAATGTGAAGTGCGTACAAAGCAATCTTCACATCTGTCATTTCTTGCCAGCTCTTCTTTGAGTTGTTTACAGCTGAGAGTCCATGCTAAGCAGAGGGAAAAAAAAAAACCACCCTGATACTAATTATTACATTGAAATTCAGTCCTATTCAATAACTCTGTAACACAACCCTATTAAAAAAAATTAGATGTTTAATATCTAAAGTGTAAAGTTGCAGTATGCTGAATTAGCTGGATCATGTTCTTTCATCCTTTGTGCAGGGCTGCATCCTCAACCGGTGGGAAGTGAGAGTTGAGAGTTAGATCTTCATTAGGTAAACCAATTTCTGCCCAATGAGGACTTGGAACAAGGTATTCATTGTGGTCCTTCATTCTAGCAAATATCCTACTGGTAAATTCTTCTCTGTGCCTAAAACTGTAGTAAGTAAAGCCATGTACTAAATGAAGTTAAGAGTCTAGCTGCTAATAACCTGTATATAAATTTAGCTCTATTTTGTGTATCTTGTCCTGTGTGTATATGTTGCTGTGATTTTATTTTTTCCCTTGTGTTAGAGGTAACTGTCTTGCACAAATCTGATAAATCATCTATTAAACTGGGATAAAATCAATGAAGCAATGGCTGATGGGAGATGGAATTTTGTTCTTTGTCATTCAGTAGCGTTCATCTTCTTGGAGGAGGGAAGTGATTTTTTTTTTTTATGGCTAATATCAATTTAATAACCTTTCTTTTTGCAACTGGGAATGTTTGTGTGAGCCAGAGCTCAATCCTGTGACACCATGGGTGAAGGAGGAGTATGAGGAAGAAAAAAAGCAAGAAAAAAAAAGAGGACTATGTCTGTCTTCTGACGAGAAACGTGTATTCTCTCTGATGGGCTTCAGGAACTGTGACCAGGGTACTTGCAGGAATGAAATTCATCCTGAACACTGTTTGAAGCAGACAAAAGCCCCTCTCTCCCAATGTTTTGCAATATTAGAATGACTTTTCCAAGAAAAATATTGTGTATGTGAAAGAATAGCAACTCATCTTTGTGTTTCCATGGCTGACCTTCCATGGGTGTTACCGTAAGTGAGTGTGATCCTGCTGAGAGTGCAAGTCTTTCTTGTTGCACAGGACCAAGTTCCCTGTTAGAGAATATTCCTACCCATCCTTTCTGAGCATGTGCATGTGTTTGCAGCCTTTGTGTCTTTTGTTTGGATACCTGCACATCAAAACTGCTAAGATACTTCCAACCAAGTATTAGTGCTGGCTCTGGCATGCGTTACTAGAGTTACTGCTGCGAAGTGGAGTAGAGAGGTGAAGGTTTCCTAATGAAATGCTACATAGCTGAGGTGGTGGCCAAAGAGACTTGTCCCACTTCAAGTAGGGAATGGTTTAGAGCCCAAAATTAACAAACTTTGACTTAATAACAGTGATGACAAAACCCTCAGAGCAGATGTTCAGGAATGAGTGGCTGCTTTTTGCTCAGGCTGGCCAGGGTAAGGACTGCATTCAGCCCCTAGTTCTTCATGTAGGCTGCCCCAAGTAGGAGGCTGGAGGGTGGCACTACCACCCCAGCTTGTACCTGGGAGGAACCCTTGAAACAATTCGACTTCATTTAAGATGGATTTTTTTATATACAGATGGTGTTAGGCATTTCTCCAAATATCATGTATTCTAAAAGCTAGAACGGAAATCATTCTAGAAAAAAATGAACTCCCATTTGCATGAGCTACTTTTTATCCCCTGGTAGGATGTTGGTGGTAGCCAAAAAGCATCAGGAGGTCTAGCAACCTGTCCCCAAGCTTTCCAGGGCTGCCTCAGGGCTCAGGTACACAGCCAGGACAGGGCAGGTGGCCTCTTGTAACTGTGTCCAGCTCCAGCCTGGAGCCAGTGTGAGAGAACTTCACTTGGCTCAATCTATAATGAAATTTAAACGAAGTTCCAGTGCCTCACCTTTGCTGTAGGGTAAAACCTCACACAGCTGCCCAGTTACTGTCAGCCTTTCAAGTGGCTGCAGGTTTGAGAATAAGCTTTTGATGTTTTGACCCTTTCTGTGCTTGTTTTATATACACACACAAATAAATTTGGCTTCTTCCTTAAAAATAAAGAGCTTCAGAAAGCATTATCCATAAACTGATCAGGGAAGGCATGAGGCAAAAGATAGATGATGGTTTTAGCCCAGCAGCTTGGGCTGGTTTTCTGTACTGCTAGAGGCACGAACAGAAGGACTCTAATTTACAGTGCTCCTGAATGAACTCAAACTGCTTTGTACCTGAACCCACCAAGGTAAAAATTACAGAATGCATTCTTTAGTTGGCTGGTTGGTCATCATCATTCCTGGCAGAGCAGAAGCCCAGGGTAGCAGCCACAGCAGTGTGCTGCAGTCAGGGCATGGGATTGTGCAGGTTGCTCTGGAGGCAGCTACAAAGCTAAGCCCTGATGGTTTGGTTTTTCAGGTGTATCCTGTGCCCGTAGAGCACCCACAACTCCAACTAACTTGTTCTTGATGACTTGGACTCTAAGCAAGTTGTTTGAAGTCAGCACTGAAAGATGGGGGTGTGAATGTGAAATGAGTGGAAAAACTTCAAAGTCTGTTTACCTTAAACACAGTTACCTATAAATGTTACCTTCTAACCTTTCTTTTGCTCTTAAGAATTTGACAGCAAGTTGGCTTGGCTTTATCTACCTGTCTGCTTTTAATATTTTGAGAGGTTATGAATAGCACCAGCTGAAGCTATGTTGGCAACAGTCGCGCAGAGAAGGCTTTGGGTGGCATCTCGGAGCCTGTGGTCAGAGGCTGCATCACAGCAGTGATGATGGCAGAGCTGAGGGAGGAAGGGCCGCGGAGCAGGCAGGCAGCAGTGTGTG